ATATGCTTCAAACATGCTCAATGGAGATTAACAGAAAATGATGGTCAACTGGGAATTGCAGACTTAGTGCTCAGTAATTTTTTGTATGTCTAGAAATATTACATGTCAATAAATAAAGTTAATTTAATATTCTTACCTCTTATACAGATACACAAAAAATTCTAAAAGTGATGATTCAGTTGAGCATTTATTGGAATTAGGATATATTAGAATGACAAATCTCCTAGCTAATGAATTGTACAAAGAAGTTATCGTGCCTACAGAAATTCAAAACAATATGCCAGTTGATGACCGAAAGGTTCAATATTTTAGTTTTAAAATGTATAATTTTTTTAATGACATTTTATTGTTTTTTTAGAGAGCAGTAAGAATATTTTGCAGGGAAAAAGCTCCTGTTGGAGGTATATCGGTTAAAGAACATTTTGAAATAAATGTAGTACCATTGACAATTGGTAATTACTAATACTCATTGTTAATTAGAGTAAATACTAATTCTGTAGTTATTTAACTAGGTATGACCAAAAAATTTTATAGCACTATGATGAGATTTTGTTTTTCTGAAAGAGATCCTGAAAATATAGATGCTGAAACTGATGAAAAAAATTCATCTAAAGGGAAAAAAAACAAAGAAAGTAATTTTTATGTCCCAATAGAACATAAAGATGATGTTGAAAAAATGAAGGTGAAATAACGTAGAATACATTTTTTATTATTTATTATTATATTGATAGTTTAGAATTGAGTATAATTATGCCTTAATACAATTTTTATATTTAACTTAGGAAAGAGCTGAAAAGAACAAATTGTTTATTTACATTAAAATACCAGAAGTGCCGGTAAAAGTTAGTTATAAAGGTAACAAAGAAAAAAATTTGGAAGACATTAGAGATTTTAGTTTAGTGATTCCCACAATTGAATACCATAATGTCACATGGACATGGTTAGATCTTTGCCAAGCTATGAAAACTGATAGTAGACGAGTAATTCTTTCTCAGGTTTGTTCATTGTACATTTTTATATTACATCTAGATATTTTTGCCATTAAAATATGAGGAAAAATTGTCATATTTTAAGGTAATAAATTATTTTTAGGCTATTAAACACAAATTACAAATAAAGACTAACAAAGCAATAGCAGATGGTGGTGCATCACCACAAGAAGAAGACAAAGCTCGAATGCTGTTTGGTAGTAAATTAGTGGTAATTATGTCATTATTATATATTAATAAAATATTATACTGTTTACTAATTGTATAGGGCCTAACAATAATAATCCAGTTTTAAGAGGACACTACACAGACATTTGTTATCTCCATCTTACAATTTGTTGTATGCCAAATTTACACTCAGCAGATCACGTTTAGCTATGTTAGTTTGAAAATTAGATTTAAATAATCTATTAAGAAATAGGTGGTAAGAACATTATATGTGTTATTAAATGAATTTTAAGCATTTTTAATCAACAATATTGTGTTAAACTTGTTAAAAAAACTGAACTATCCTAAAAAACAACATACAAACACATCCGTTATTACTATCTATCAAGTTTCATAAGGCTGATTCACTCTAATTTTTAATTATTGTAGCTAAAGGCTTTCTGCTAAGAGTTAATTTGGTGTGATATACAATTGTAAGACGAGTTCTACAAAAATCTAAGTAGAATTTTAACATAATTTGACTTTTTGGTTGTACATATAAAATCTTTTTTTTTTGTTTCTAGCGCAATGAACACAGAAATTCAAAACGTGGTATACTAAAATTTCCTAAATAGAAGTATATATTAATTTTATATTTTGTATAAATTCTGTGATATTGAATTTTGTTACCTAAAAATGTATTTGTTTAAGGAACATGTATAATATATTTATTTTATAGCTAACTTCTGAATAATATTACTCAAGAGCTCTGAAGCTATTGCATGTTTTAAGAATAAGCAAAAGAAAACTTAAAAATATGAATATATTGAAACATTTTGATGCAATTTTAGGTTTGTTTTTAGTTATCATAACTTTTTGTAATTGATACATTTTTATGGAAATGTTACCAATAATTATTAATCATTGAAATATCTGAAAAACATTTAATACACACTGCACGTCATCCACTATACTTACCAACTAAATAATTATGTTTATATTTGTTCCCACGGGTCAATATACTTGTTTTTCACGAATTCAAATTTTTAACACAGCCATTACATTGACCTACTTAATGATGAGGTATACTAGATTTCAACTGTATAGCAGAACGGTCATCTATTTGACTACATTTTTTAAATTAAGCCAACAATGCAATAACTTCTGATTCTTTATTATTATTATTAAAAAAAATAAAGTAATACTAGTAACATTTAGAATTTTTAGGTAAGTGGTATAACTATCAGGTGAAGGAAAGTATTAACTAAATATTTTCAATGTACTTACAATTATTTAACCATGTATTCAAAAAAAAAGTTATCGAGCAATTTCCACATGTTTATTTAGTAGTCTTAGCAAAATATATAAAATTAATTTTGTTTAATTTATTGATTTAATATAAGTTACTACATTTTATGCATATTTATTAATATAAATTTGAAAATTGTTTGACTTAAATTAGTTCAAAACATGTATAAAGTAATTATGCTGAATAAGTGAACAAAATTGTATTAAATTTTACTTTAGTTATTTTTTTATGTATCCTTAAATAAATTATTTGAAGGTATAACATACATTAAACATCTTATCATTAACTCATAAAATACTTTAATCTTATTATATTATTATTATAATTCTCTTAGACAAAAGTCTTTAGGCCTTTCATTCAATCATTCAAATTTAATTTTTTTAATTAGAAACATTAAAATAGTAACTTAACAACGATTTTACTTGTTTAAATTGAACTAGTTTTATTTTGAATATTAATGGGACCACAACACTGATCAAATTTCTATTAAATCTACTTGTTTCTTTTATGAAAATGTATAATATATTTGAAATGGTTGAATTATTCTAAAATAATAATAGATTAGGCAAGTTTTAATTTTGCATATAATTATAATATATAGGCAGGGTTGGGACGACAGAAAATTTGCCTGTGGTCAGGCCTGATATTAATGTTCACAGACTGACTGGCTATAAAAACTCATTTTATGGTAAAATACTCCTGGCCTGAGATAATGCCTCAACTGACCCCTGAATTTAAATTATAAGTTATTTAGGAAAAAAAATGTTTCAAGTGAAGAATATTTAGTATAAAGAATAAAAGTGAATGTTGCGAGTACTAATACAAATTTTAGTAATTTTAAAATTACATTAGTTGCGTCAAAAAATAATTTTAATTGTTATCAGTATATAAAACTATTAACACAATATTAGTGTTAATGTTCATGTTAAGCTAATATAAGTAAATGGTGGTTCTTGTAATAGTTTAAGATTATAGGTCAATATTAAATATTTGCTAGTTTTAAATAATAATTTAGGTACTTAATTGAATKTTTATCATCTTTGTCAAAAAAGGTAACTTTTGGCTACCGTATGATTACTTTCAAATTTTACCAGTATTTATGTGAAGAACTATTCTTATATGGAATTCACGGTATTTTGGACTTGCAGAAAAAATAATATTTATGATATGCTCAGTTAGAGATGTTAGATACTTTTCCAAATAACACTTTAAACTTTTAAAGTATCAAATGTTGGTCAAATGTGGTTTGATAAAATGTTGGTCTCCTAATATCAAACCACATTTGATGTAACACAACTGTGTACTATAGTATGTATGTATGGTTTCAAAATATATTTAAAATTTAAATTTATCAAATGTACTTATACTTTGCATAACAGATTTTATCCAGACATTCTGTACTCACATGAGAAATCGGCAAATATTTCTATTGATATGTATCTGTTAATTAAGTGTGAAAAGCAACAAATTAATTTTAATAAGTTTTAAAATAGGGCCCATAACAAAGAATCTGCAAATGTTTTTAACATAAGAAAATTATACGGCATAATAAGCTTTTTTCTTTTTAAGTTGTGTTAATTTAGCTTGTCTTGATTGGTTCAAATTTAAAATAAATAGATTGAGCAATTAAATATAAATGCAACATTTTGCTATTCACATTTTTTAAACAATTTATGTATGACAGTATAAATTTACTAAAATTTACTTGAAGTATTTTAAAACACCATACTGTATTTTATATGATCAATAACAACTAAAATTTTTTAAATTAATTTAAAAAATACATGATTAATTTTATTTTAAAAATCAATAAATTTCACATGGTTATCTTAGAATCATGTCACCTATGTAAATATTGAATCACTAAGACTGCAATAATTGAAAATTGTGTGATTTAATGATCATCGGTATTCATGTCGTATGCGGTCTACCGCACACTTGTCATCTACCACGTATATGTTTCTACACGTCATATGCGGTCTACTGCTGCGTATCTAAATATATTTGTATGGTTTAAAACTTTGAATTATTAAAAAAATGCATGGTACATTTCCATCATTGCTGTCCTCGTATTTAGTGGAACAATGGCGGCATCTAAAAAATAAGAATGACAACACATTTGATTGTTTTTTTAAGAGAGGTGAAATTATATTGTACTTATACCTAATTTAAATATTGATTAAAGCATATTTCTATATAATTTTAAATTTTTTGTCAGTTAGTTTTTAATTCATATACTAATTAAATTTACCTACATATTTTTATATATTTTTTTTGTATTATTAAATAGGTATTATATTGAAATTCTACATTAATAAATATATTGTAATTCTACATTTATGTATTCCATCATTCATATTTTTAACCATGTAGTAGACCGCATGCGTGGTAGACAACAAATGTGCGGTAGACCACATATGACGTGTAAAAATGGGCGGTAGACCGCATACGACATGAATACCTGATTATCAATTTAACTATTCAAAATTGTTTTCACTAGAATAGGGTAATAAAATATAACATCTTATACGACTATATGAGTTGATCAATACTAATTAAATTACTATTTTCTTTTAATATTCTTCTAAAAAATAAAATACAAAACAATTTTAATTTTTATAATCATAAGGAGACAAAGTGGTGAATCCTTTGTATTTCTTTTTCGTTTTTAATCCAGTAACCAAGTTGGAACTGCGTGGAAACGCAGTGACACCATCAAACATTAGATCTGTTTCTGGGTGGAACCTATGGTAGTTGGATAAAATATGGAGATTAGGGGGAAGTTCACGATTCTGAAGTGCATCATATGGTACAACTGTGTCTATAGGTGTCTCATAAAATTCAAATATATCACCTTTATAAAAAAGAATATAAATAAATATACTGAATATTATTTAGTTATAATATATAATTATTTAGTTTTAAATTTTACCTAAAGTATTCATAGTATGTAAAAGTGAATTGGGTACTTGATGGTCAACCACTTCTTCACATTTTTTTAGTAAACGGATTTTTTCATTTTTACTTAGTGAGTATGATGCTTTGGTTTGATTAACTGTATTATTTGCTATTTTTATTATGGAGTTCCTGATATCCAATGGAGGATCATACTCTTTAAGTGGCCTTAAAAACCTGAACATATAAAACATATTATTTATAATTTTATTCTATAATAATTTAAATTATTATTTTAATATGTAACATTATTTAAAATATATCAACTAACCCTCTTGATGCTATGGCCTTAGCATTTCCTTCAAATTTGCTTCTTGGAGGTACCCATGGTATACTTCTTTTTACTTTTTTGTGTAAATGTCTTATCTGTGAAGAAGCAAGTTAAAACTTAATTAAAAAATCAAGCGATATTTGTAGTCATGATTGTACCAGACCAAATTTTTTTCTGATCTTGGGTGGAGGAGTCTGAATAATATAGGAACTTAGGAAGTGATGTATGAAATAATTATTTTATTTTACATGCTTTAAAGTTGTCAAATATGTATTTTTTATATATTCATATATAAATAAATAAGGTTTGTTAATAATTGTTCAAGTACCTACCTACATAATAAAATTAATAACATTATACAGGATAAATTCTAAATTTCTATATTTAGACTCTGAGTGAAGGGAATTCTGTATTAATTTTACAATTATGTGTTTTTTACTGTCTGACATCAACTTTTGGATACTAAAATTTCTTTGATTTTCAACTTCAGTATAATTTCTGATGTGATTAATATAATCGTTTTTCATACATGATGAAATTTTCAAAAAATTATTCTTAGACACTCGGAAGCGTGCTCAGAAATTTTGAATAAGGGAAGAGTTAGTTCAAATTTTTATCGGAGCAAAAATTGCCTAATCTAAAATTGAGAAATACAATAATTATAATTATATGTATTTAAGTACATATATATTTTTAAGTGTTTATGGAGGGTGGTTATAGGTTGTTAAAAAATATAATATAATACGAGTAGCTAGAGTAAGCAAGGGTGAAGTGATCCAGAAGGTAAGTATTCTGAAATGTAAGCTTGTAGTTAATTTAACAATTCATGTAAAATAAATAAAAATCCACTTTATCAACAATTTGACTTTATACGTAAATCAACAACCAACGATAATATTGTATTCGTTATTTTTATACCTTACAACTTTTCAAGTTACAGGATTATTTTCAATACTACATATAATATTTACTTTAATCTATATTAGCATTTTAGTGGTAAATATGTAAAATTATGAATGGGCATAGAAGGAAACTAGTATAACAATCAACTATAATATTATGCATTAAAATATAAGGTCTACGAAAGTTCTTATTTTATTCTAAATCCTAACAGTAAGAAGTAAAATATAAAAAAACAAAATATCATCTATAATATTATAATATTTATAATGGAACATAGTGACAGTTGGGTAAGCGGGAAATTCCCGTCTGTCTTGTTTGTTGGCACTGGTAGAAGACAGCGGCGGCGCCGACCAAAACAATATTATTTTATCAATACTTCAGATTTGATAATGATTTTTTTTCACGCTGACACCGCCAACAATATATTAAGATGATAAAAAACTTTTCATAACAATAATACTATCGTCGACAACTTTCGTTGAAGACTTAGAGTGTAAGACACATCTAATTACTATGCCTTATTATTTTTAATAATCGTTACGTAAATATCGTTGTAGTCTTGTCGGTTCACCGGCAAAAACGGATCGAAATCTATTTTGTGATCAAAGACGCGTATCGTACAAAAACTACGGCCATAACCTTCAAAGGTTACATCGTCCATAACTTTTAACTTTGACAAGACGGTAACAATTAAAACATGAACGATATAGTCCAGACAAAAACAATGGTATTTGTGATACAAAATTATCGTATCTACATGGACATTATCAGTTAAATGTTTTAACACATTTGCGGTTGTCGCGAATTCTTATAATTTACCTGAACGGCGAATCGGTCGTGTAAAGTCGTTGTGGCACCGTTGCTGTTGATGACGTTCGCCGATAAAAACAATCGCAATAAGGTACTCGGGCGATTTAAAATGTGTCCGGTCATCATGGTCGCTGTAGCTTTCAAAAATAAAAATAAGCTATAATCTAAAATATTGTCAGTTTATTATCATCATCCATTGCGTACATACAGTCGTAAATCGTGATATACCATATACCTACTCCCGGTGGTGCTGTGGCGGCGTATGTTTTTACCGCAGTGGCCGCAATTCTGGTTACCACTGTGTTAACCATGTGACGGGTGTTGAGCCAATCGGATGCGCAGGTCCTTCGGGTAGTGAGTGCGTGCGAGAGTGAGTGCGTGCGTGCACGATTGTGTGTGTTGGTGTGTCCGCCATTTTACGCGACTCGCCGTCGTCGATCATGAACAACAACGCAGCTCCGGGCGCATCGGATAATGATTGTCGCGTTTCCGGCCTGTGATTATGTCCGTACGCGTTATTGACGCACGTCCGTCGTTCGGCCGAAACTGTTTCGCGTATACCGTCGCGTTATCGTGGTCGTGGTGTCCGCGGTCCGCCGGCGCCTCAGCCGTGGTGTTTGTGTGACGTCCAAGACGTCGTCGTCGCAGCAGCCGTCGTACCAGTCAAAATGTCCAATGAAAAATGACTCACTCCAGCCATCAGACCAACGGTGCCAGCTTGGAGGATTGCCACACAAACTTCTTCGCCCTGGTTAGTACTTAGTTAACATTATTGCCATCTGATTTGCATTGCTTTTTCTCTAAAGCCGCGAAGGTAATAGGTAACTCATATCCATAGGTATACATATAAGAAAATTAGGCATACTATGTTAAACTGACGGCTCTTGCCACAAATCACAGGTGGAAAACTCACATATTTAATTTTTACCCATGGTCAACAGACCCTATCCACCGCCACTTGTTCAAACTCCATCAAAAATTCCTTCAGATCTTGTAGGTCCACTAATCTGGAGACCAGTATCTATCCATCTATCCACCAGGTGACAAATTATTAACACCGTTGTCATTTATTTAGTTGCTTGTTTATGATACAATTTTTTTGTTAGAATAATTCTAGAACCAACAGATCACATAGTTAAATGTTTACATATTTAGTTTTGGTCGTTGGCTTTTCCCAGGGTTTTCTCGGCTTGTTAGAATACAAACGCGTATTAGGTATAAACTACAAACATTAATGAAAAATCTTTAGACACTGCAAGTAGAACTACTTTGCGGCATACACTCATTGACTGTACTTGTTGACCTATTTAAAAACGCAATTTTCAATTATTTTCTGTTTGTTATATCAAGCTTACAGTTTAAGGTATTTAGTATTATGTTTTGCTACAAGTTTAATTAAAATTAATTCATTGTTACTATGTTGATATCTACTTGTTAGGATAGGATATAAAACTTAATTCTGGCTAAACCATTGTTATTTTACACAACACTAACACTAAGTTCGAAAAAAAGATTGACATTACAAAAAAAGTCTGATAAATACGAAAACCTATTCCAACTTAACCATCAATTTTATTACTTTTTAAAAATATCCGTTATTTTAAAATTTTTTTATTTAAAATTTTTCTTTGCTTGTAATATTTAATTACTTATGTAGGTAGCTTCAGTTTAAAATATAATGTTTGTGTACCAACTACCAAGTTAAGATTTTGTTAGTCCTATATTCCAAAATGATACATACTTAGGTCATCAATGATAATAGATAAGTATTTCTTAACTCAGTATTAAATGAAAACTTTTCCTTTTCAAATTTAGTATCTAAAGATTTTTCTTTTTTTGTTTATTGAATTTGACCTAAGCATGATACTTTTTAGAACTCATAATATATAAAATGTATACACTGAAATATTTAGTTTCAAATTATCAAAATTACTTATCAATTAACTATCAAATTAAAACTCTACTATATGATTTATAATAGAGATTTTTTCATTTTAAATATATCTTTGTCTTTATTAACGTATGGACATTTATGTATATATTAGGAAGACCATACATCCCATTTAAAATAGAATTATCCCCTTTTAGTCCTGATAAACATCAAATGGGACGCTTTTTGTCCCATTTTTAGAAGATAGTCTAATTTTATTCCTGTTATCTGATTATTATTATATTATTATGTGTAAAAAACAATATATTGAGATTGAGATTAAGATTATTTAACACTTTTTAAATTGTAAAATAACATTTTTTTACATATAGGAATATCAAGTTAAATCTTGATATGCAAGTAAAATAATTCTAATAATATTATTAAGACAATAAGTTGTTGTTACCAAATATTATAGATATTAGGTACCTACTTACCTTATGTTCTTTATTTTATTTTATTTTTTTAATGATTTAGTGTCAATCATATTTTTTTAATGATTTTAGGTAGGTATATCATTCTGTAATGATCACTTTGTTTTATTGCCAATTTTTATAAGACTGCAAACAATTTACTTTTCACATCATTAATATTTATCACAAAACTTATAGAAATGTTTTTCTCAAAATCACAGTATCTAGGTATTTTGTAGATAATGATAATGTATTAATTATAGTTTAAAGTATTAAAATTAGTATTAAATGTTATTTTTCATTGAAACTTCAAATCAATAGGCACTTTTTAAATTTTAGTTAAGTATAAACATTGTGGCAGTTATGGTTTTCAAATTTTCATTTCACTATATATCTTAATAAATTCTTAGTAAATAAATAGATAGTTTTTCAATTATTTTCCTTTCTATTAACCTTGTTAAAAAAATTTATTTGCAAATAGTAACGGTAGTTACTCATTTTATTTTGTAAATTTCTACTTTAGTTTTATTTAATTTATAATTTTTTTGAAATATCTAATAAGAATTTACCTGTTTTGGATAGTTTAATAGAACATTAGTTAAATACCCAGTTAAATACAGAATTATAGTATTATAATTATAATATGTGGATGTGTATTAGGTATTAGATAATATAAGGTTTTATTTTTCAAAATAAAATATGAAATAATAACAATACAATTTAGGTACATTCAAAACAGATGTTCATTTTTCTACTTTTATTTTAGTTAATTATGTATCTGTGCACTATTCTTTAGTTTTGTATACTAAAACTTGCCATTCTAATTTACACAGGTTTTTAACACAGATGATCTTCAAATAAAGTTCCCTGTTGAGTTAGTACAGTATATATATTGGTGATAAGAAAATAGCTCATACACAAAATTAAATTTATTTATTTGCTATAATGTTTGATTTTTAGATTCATAATTTATAAATATTAGGTAAATGAAAACTAGGTAAAAATTACTGAACTTTCTATAGCTACAAGATGTTTAAAAAAAATTATATTATCCTACTAAAAAATAGTATAGTAAAGCATTATTGATTATTTAGTTAATTAAGTAATGTTGGTATAGTCTAGGTTTTGTTTATTGGCCAGTGTCGGAAGATTAAATCTTTCAATGTTTTTACTTTCACTTAGTCAATTTTCTTATAGTAGTAATGTAAACAACTGATTAGATATTCGTAATCAATACCCAAGACAATTTGTTTGGCTATAAATTAAGATATTAGCCACCTGGTAGGGTAGTATACACCACCAATACCTGTCAATGAATTACGTATTATCAGACTAGAATTGATTACTTCGTTGCTATATATCTACGAAATCTCGCACAGTGAGATTATGCTTTAATAGAAAACATATTTTTGAATAATATTATGCTTATCGTCAATAACATAACGGGTTTGTGGCTTTCGTTGTTATTATTGACTATTTCTTTATCAAAACACTGCGAGGCGCGTGCACGTAGATAAGCGGTGGACGCATGGCTGTAGTAAACTTTGCATTCACCCCACGTAGACAATATCGAGTATTGACTCGGAGATTTACAAATTTAATCAGTAGTTCAAAACCTTGATGACTTTAAATACGAATTTAATTATTATAATACCTATATATTTATGAGTGTTTTGAAAATATAATTCTGCAAATATTTTTCCCCCGTAAAATACTCATTCATTAATATATATATATAAATATCCTCACCACCACCATAAGTATATTCGCGAGCCCGCGTGCGCGCGTTCACATACATATACAGAGGCAATGTCCTGCGTATTTCCAAACCTCTTCCAGTGGTTCCCCAAAAGTGGGCGTCCGACATTATCAGTTGTTTTTTTATTTTTTTTTCTTATTCGAAAATTTCGTAAACATTTCCGCATCGGTTAAATATTGATTTTTCCCGTGCCCACCGGAAGAATTCCGTTGTTGTCACTGCCTCCACCGTTGCGGTAATTTGTATGCTTATCGTCGTACAMGCTCGTTTTTTCTCTTTACAGATTTCCTCGTGAAAAGTGCATATTTGCAGCCATTGTGTACATTGCATAACTTTGTCTGTGGTCCACAATGATATTAGTAGTAGACTCTGGGTTGCAGCGACAAAATTCATAATAGTTTTATTGTTTGACCATCTACCACTGTAGATGTGTCACAGTGCATGATCGACCCMGTTGTGTCGTGTGTGTGTATATTACATTTCGACAATTATAATATTAACAAATTGATGATTTCATTGTTAATGTCTGTCAATACCTCACTCCGTTGTCGTTTTTCACGACTATGATTCGTAATTATGTTCATAATTGCTATTAATAATGAAATTAATACTGTTAATATCTACTTTGATCTCTCTTTAATAAATGTTCATCTTTTGAATTGTTTTCTTGGCTGTTCACGTCCTCAAAGTATGCATCGTATTTGACGTTTGTTTTATTAGTCGCACGCAGTTGAGATAACCACATGGCTAACGATTGATTGTTCTGATTTTTTAAATCGTTTATAAACTATAATATGTATGTATGTCTGTTTAAGTGCTCTCGTTCTATTTTTCGACCTGGTCCTCCCTCTTGTTAATGTGGCCGTGGCGTCGACAACGACTGTTATATAGTTGACATACACAAGAATTCCGTAGTCTGCCTTAGAGTTGTTCAAGGGTGTACTCATAATATTCTTAAATATTAATACCATATCATTATGGTGTTGCGTGCCGGATTGTTGTAATGTGTATACGGATGAAAAAAAAAACTGGATTATTGTTGTGCCCTATGAGGGGGGGGGTAGTTGTGTCGTTGTTCGTTGAGGTGTTTCACCCTTTACGGGGAAAACGAGTCTGAGGGATAATGCTATAATAGTATCGTTGGGGGTGATAAACGGTGGTGGTGGTCCCGTCGGTGTCGCAGCAGTAGCGTTTACCCGATAATATACACGCTTGTAAATAATTGTTTACTTCACCGGTTACCACTCTACCAGCCCGTAGTGTATAATAATACAGCAAACGTTTTATATTACATTATGATTACAT